AAGAATGTGGAGGAACTTTGGCAGGGTAATGTTCTGTTTTTGGGGCCCTGGGGGAAGATGGTATTGTTTGTACACCCCAGGAGATGGGAATCTGGGGGTGGCCAGTGGGCCTTGATGGCCAAAAGCAGCCTGTTAGCTGGCCAGCAGCTAGGCAGAGGAGAAAAGCCAACTGAGAAAGGCAAAAGCTGGTGCTGAGATTTGGAAACCCTGAGCAGCTGTTAAGCAGCCTAAGTATGCAAAGGATGGCCAGTGAGTCTCTTAAAATCACCTGTGGGTGATGCCCTGCTCACTGTTGAGTGAGGGTGAGGAGTTGAGGAACTCGTCCTTGGGGGACGGGTGGGGAACATGGCTTGTGGTGGAGCCCACAGCCGAAGAGGGGACCCAAGAGAGGCTGCATGTGGAGCTTGTATCCACGGATCCCCGACCCATGTGCTTGTGCAAAGGATTGGCCTGAGTGCAGGGGTCTGCGTGTCGCATTAGTGGCTACAAAAGCCAAGTGTTGGAGCGACAGCAGACAGAAACCCTGAGGGTTGGCGATTACCCCCAAAGAACAGAATCGCCAATCCCAGAGTGAGTGCATCCCCGGGGTGGATGTGGTGTGTGGCTTGTGGCCAAGACTACAGCTGGATGGTTCCCCTCCCTTGTATGAGCAGTGCCATCGGCAGCAGAAGTGGTGGATCATCTGCTGGTGCCAATAATTGTCTTTTGCCACTAGGTTGGTGCCCTGCCTGGAATTATTTATATTCTGTTGTATTGTTTCATTACTCAGTTGTATTTTCTTTTGGTGGGGCAGAGCTGCTGTGTTTATGTTTGTTAAGGGAAAATTGTATATACGTGTATATAGATAGTATAGCAGAAAACCCTGAGGGGGTGGATTGTAGGGTAAATGGTTTTTCAGGCTTTTCTGCCCTCCCACCATTAGGATTGCCCTGCCTGATGGGGCACCTGCAGTTGTTACATTGTTGTCTTGTTTACCTCTGTGGGCCATGGGAAGAGTATTGAGATAGTTACTGAGAGAAGCAGAAGCAGGAGAGAACAAGGAGAGAAAAGGCCAGAGAAGCCCAAAATGAAGCCCCTGGCACCCCTGCCTGCCGTGTACCTGTTTGCCACACTATATGTAATAGCTCAGTAAAAGCCTGAGAAACCCACTGAACACTCCAGGACTCTTCTTTACCTGTCAGCTGGATCAGAAAACTTGCCCTGTGCCCATTCCTGCCACTATAATATGTATGTGTATATATATAAATACACACATATATATGTGTGAGTGTGTGTGTGTATATATATATACACACACACATATACACACATATACATACACATACACACACACACATATATATATATATATATATATATATATCGCAAACCAAAAACAAAAGAAATACAAAAGACCATAGCAACCATAGCATTTTCCCTTTGATCTTTGGTCTCTCCATTAGATGCTCCTTTATTCATCATGGGTTTTCATATTAAAGTATAAACCTAGTCCAATAGTCAAATATATTTTATGATGAGCATGCCTAAAAATATTGAGTAGAGGAAACAACTGGAAATATTATGATGTGTCATCATTTTTAACATGTGAATATATGTCCAGGTATAGGGATCAGAAAATATCAAATCAATTCATCTACTACTTCATTTTCTTTGTTAAGTTGTTTGATTTCAAGGCTAAAACCTTGAAGTTTCTTGATTTGTTTTATACAGAGCTATATGGAAAAATTACTGATTGAAGCTGTGATGTCTCAGAAATATTTTCTCACTGAAAGAGATATGACAGAGATTACAGATGATGATATAAAGGTTTTTTAAAATATTTTATTTATTTATTTTTAAAGATTTATTTATTTATACAAGCACTGAGTACAGTCAGAAGCACAGGAGGGTGAGAGAATTCACCAGAACCAGAGCGGGGAACAGAACAGGCAGATCGACGAAATACACTGCTGAGGGGAGCAGCAGGTGTGGCAGGAGAGGCCTGCGCGCCATGTGGGACCCTCGCAGGTGGCTGGGATTGAACCGGCGAACCGGCACTGCAGAGGCTGCGGGCAGCTTCGCAAGCCCAGCACTCGACTGCTGCGCCACCAGGGGAGGCCCTGATGATGATATAAAAGTTAACATGAATTGAGTGCTTACCATATTCCAGGCTCTTGCTATGACCTTGGCACACTATGTTTCATTTACTCTTCAAAATAATCATATAATATGGATAATGTAGTTATTTGCATTTTACAGATTAAAAAAAAAAAAAAACTAAAACTTAACCAAGATCAATCTGAGGTTTGGGACAATATACTGAAAAAGTACATCTCATGAGACAGAACAATTAAATTTTAGTGCTTGTATATGGTGCTACTGTAAGTGGGCCCCAAAGAGGTCATCCTCTTATGATAATAATCAAGCCGAATTATAAAACTACACAGCAGTACAAAACCTAAACCAGACTACACACACAGATGTTGGGTATTGCTGACAGTCATGCTTCATCACTTCAGAGTACTAAATAATGCATCTTATATGAGATTTGTTCTTCCTCCTGTCATAAGTACCCTAAATTAAATTAGAGTTTTATGCAGCTTTCATTATAAAACTGTCTATTCCATGTGATCCCCCTCCCTGTTAGATAAAATATGTCTATGAATGGGTTAAAGAACAAAACAAAATCTCTTGCACTAGTGTCCAAATCAACATAAATGTGTACTGTTCATTAAGGCCTTATTTGTACTTCTTTTTAAATATTTATTTAAAATAATCTATTTATACTTTTATTTTACCCTCAGGTAGCCCATGTCATTTTGTAGTTCTTTAACTTTTTATACTCCCTCCTGAATTGTGTATTTCCTTCCCAGTGTATCTCTTGGCTCTGAATCTCTTTACATTTTCACATCAAAATTACCCATCAAAACATTTTATCTCTTATTCCTCCTGAATAGTTGTAGATGAGAAAATGAAATGATATATCACTGATTGTTAATGTATGCTAATTAAGTACCAGGGTACAGCATCTAATCACCTGGGTAGCCTGGCAAATATACAATTTGAAGAGCTGAAGTTGTAACACTGAATCAAAATCTCTTGGGGTTTAATCTAAAAATCTGTACTTTAGATTTCCCAGATGTTTCTAATGTTTGGTTCTGTTTGAAAGCCACTGTTATCTTGGAGAAGTATCTAATTCAATGAAGTTTTATAGTAATCTATTGGGTCTTTATCTAAATTGACAGATTTTTCAGGTTACTATGGTTTCTATGAGTTGCTTATTTTATGATTATTACTCCTTTTCAGTTCACTTAGGTCTTTAAATATTGTAACTTTTAGACTCTTTATTAGCAATAAAGCTAACACAAGGAAAGAAGGGCATTTGTGATTGAAGAGCTTGCTCATATATTGAGTTCTTTCAAAGACACTTAATTTCAGTAAGTAGAATAGAAAATTGATCTCAATGAGAGAAATAAGACTCAAAACATAAAGTATAAGCCTTACTTTGTAAATTGTTCATTGAGTGTAACAAATACAAAGATCCAAGTCTTTCATTCTTTGTTGTTCTTATTATACCACTAATAATGTAGACAGAGCTATAAAATGTAACAGCAATAATAACGATTTCACATTATGAGTCATTGCATGAGTAATATTTACATTACTTAAGCTTCTTTTGGAGGGAATAGTTTCATTATTTAACAGCAACACATTACTATAGATTGTTCTTTAAGTGACTTCTTTCTAAGAATATAGGAACTTGGGACGTATTACATCATATAAAGTATTTTTATGTAGGCCAAGCCAGTGTTACCATAGCAATAAACATAATTATCCATAAGCAAAAAAAAGTGACTTGGAAAAAGTCTGCATTTCACAGTAAATTAGGAATCCATCAAGTGTTCGAGAGGTCCAGTATTTCTCAGCATCCTGTCTCCACTCCAACCTTTAAAAATGATTAAGTACAGTTTTTATATTGTATAAACATAACTTTTTTAAAAAGCATATTTTGTCTATAATAAATGAACTTAGAGTGTTTTATATGTCTTCCACCTCCCTATAATACCATAATGCCATGACTAGTAAAACTACAATACATTGAAAGGACATTTCTGTTCCCATTTCATCAACAGAATTTCTCTTCGATTTTCTACTAACTTCTTGCCAAGCAGTTATAACTCAGTTATCATCACAATTGATCACTTGTCTAACACACCACTATAGTTCATTCTATGAGAAAGAAAGGAAAAGCAAACAAACCAGCAAAGACTGAACTTTCCTCAGAACTTTATCTTTCAATACCTCTAAATAAAATCTTCAACACCAGTTATTTAAGATCAAAACAAACTATTCTCAGACTATTTCAGGGATTCCAATTTGTTTACTATTACACACACACACACACACACACACCCATACTCCCCACCATTGTTATAAAATTAAAGAAAAATTTTTTTCAATTCATATTTACTACACATTTTTCAAACTTCAGGGGACATGTTCCAGAAGCTGAAACTGTGATAGAAATTAAGGAAAGTGAAGTCAATGGTCGATAAAATTGTTTGTATTTGGGCTGGAAGCTCACTTTTCATATTACAACTTTAAGTTTTAGGAGAGATCATACAATAAGGCTGCTGCTCCTTTCCCAATTCTCAAACTAAATAAGCTAAAGCCAATTGCTAACAATGTACAGTATGAATGCAACCTATCTGCATTCTTATTTTCCCATCTCCATTTTCATGTGGGTGTTCTACTCATTTGTTTTGCAACCTGAAGTGAGCCCAGGTGCTCTTAATAAGCAGTCGTTTTGCAGAGTCCTTGTTACTCTTCTCTTCCATATTTTTAAGTAAGCAGGCTAGGTTGAGAGAAGAACATCCTATTAGACATCAAAATCCCTGCACTTTAAGACAAATTGGCCTTAAAAAGTATCCTTTATTTTTTCTATAAACTTCAATTTTCCCTTCTGTAACTAGACAGTTTAGATAATCACTTTCCTTCAGACTAGCATGACTTGCCTCATTTGCTTACTGTGGTTTTATTTCCAGCTTTCTTTTTTCTCCTTCTTCATAAATGGTTAAGTTAAACAATAGGATGTCAAGAATCCAAAGTCCAATTAGTTGATTAATGTTGAATTAAGCAAGTTCATGTTCTAGGTAAATGCATCTGCAAAACAGACAACTGCTCTGTACAGTTAAAAAAAATGCCATCACCTCTGTAAGTACAGTAATAATGATGTAATTCATAGAGCCTCAATCCATAGAGGGTCTCGATTAAAAGGCTCACAGAACCAACACACACACACACTCTTACCAATATGAATTACAACAGCAAACACGTTTAGTAAGAAATTATTTCAAAGGAAGCAAATGAACAAACACTTGACACCTGTGGTATATGAGAATGTTCCAGGACCATGCTTATACAGTCTACATTTTGCTTGCTGAAAAGGTATAGGGGATATTTCAATTATCTTGGTGATGATGATGGTTATAGCAACTACCATTTATTGAGCAATTATCATGTGCCAGGCAATATTTTATTGTATCAGGTAAGTGGGAATATTTTTATCTTATAGATAAGTAAACCAAAGTTCAAGAAGACTATGTTACTGAAGATTATAAATCTAGTAAATGGCTTTGTCATTATTGCATTTCTGGGAAATAGTGATGTGTTATTTTTGGTTCATATCTAATATTCAGGGTAGGGGATGCACAGGAATCTAAAACAGCCAATTGTTTCTCAGGAATCTTCCTCATGCTTCTTTATTTTTCTCTTTCAACATCATTTACATTATGAAGTTCACACATTTTGAGAATTATTTTTTTAGATTTATTTTTTATTTATAAAATAGCTGGGGTACAGGCCAGAGGCATGGGGGGGTTGAGAGGATTCACCAGAGACAGAGTGGGGAGCAGAACAAGCAGACTGACTGAAAGCACTGCTGAGGGGAGCAGCGGGTGCCAGAGGAGAGTCTGCCGCCCCTTATGGGAATCTCCCTGGCCTGCTGGGAATCGAACCCGCTCTGCAGAGGCTGTGGACAGCTTCACAGTGTTGTGCTCAACCCGCTGCACCACCAGGGAGGCCCATTTTTGAGAATTTTTATGTAAAAGTCAATATGAACCTGTCCAATCCATCTCTCTATCACTTTTTGTTCTTTTGTGTATCACTTTCATGTCTGTCTGCCTGTCTGCCTGTCTCTCTCTCTCTCCATTGTTCTCTATTGATAAAGAAAAATGAAGTCATTTAGACTGAAAAGATGAATACATGTGAAGCTAAACTATATACTAACTTCTAAACCCAGCTAAACTCAGTGGGAAGCATCTGTGGACCTGCAAATGTGTGTAACTAGCTTTTCATTAATTGTTTAAATCTTATAAAAGCAGAGAGTAGAATGGTGGTTGCCAGGAGCTGGGGAGGTGTTACGCAGGGTCAAAATGTCTTAAGTAAGCAAGATGAATACAATATAGTAACTATGTTTAATTATACTGTATGGTATACTCGAAATTTTCTAAGAGAGTAGATCTTAAGTGTTATAACCACAAAAAATGATGACTATGTTAGGTGGTGATGTTAATTAAGCTGATTGTGGTAATCATTTTCACAGAGTATACCAAATCATTATATTGTGGGCTTTAAATATATACAATTTTTTATGCCATAATGTATGTTATTTACCCCACCACCATCCCTTGTGTCCCCTTGAGCCTTTCCTCTCCCCTCCTTTTTTTAAAATTATTTATTTATGCATACAAGAACTGGGGTATAGGCCAGAGGTGTAGGGGGATGAGAGGATTAACCAGAGACAGAGAGGGGAACAGAACAGACAGACAGACTGAAATACACTGCCGAGGGGAGCAGCGGGCAAGACAGGAGAGGTCTGCTGCGCCATATGGGTTGCTCCCTGGCCGGGGATCGAACTCATGCTGCAGTGGCTGTGGATAGCTTCATAGGTTGTGCCTTAACCCCTTGCGCCACCAGGAAGACCCACCTTTTCCCTCCTTCTTAATTTTAAGTGCCATCAGTCTGTTTGTTGATGTCTAGTAGTTTCTAAAAGTGTTTTACAGGGAAATGTCTGTTATATGAATGTCTAAATATATATGATTTTTTATTTTTCAATCACTTGTCAATCAATAAATCTCAGAAAAAAACAAACAAACAAACAAACAAACAAACAAACAAACAAAAAAAAAAAACAGTTGGTCAGAGAAGGTCTTTCTGAACAGGTGAGCAGAAACCTGAAAGAAGAGGGAGGCAAGTTAAGCAAAATTCTGAGGTGGGAGTCTTCACAACATAAAGAGAACTTAAAATATTTGAGTCAGTGAAAGAGTTTTTGTGTTCTTGGAACAATAAGAACACCAGTGTGGTTGAAGAGAAGAGAAAAATGACAGAAATAGGTCAGAAAATTTAGAGTCTTGTAAGCCATGCTAAAGGAGTTTTGAATTTATTCTCAGTGCAGTGGGAAGCCTTTGTAAGAAGACTAGTAACATGATCAGTTACATGTTTTTAAAAGATCAATCTAATTATTGTGTGGTATATAGAATGTAGGGGGTCAAGAGTAGAAGTAGGGAGACTAGCTGTCGATCACTGCAAGCACATTGGCAAGTCTAGGCAAGAGTTGATAGTAATTTGGAATAAGGCTATAGTGTTGGTGTTGATAAATGATTTTGGATAAAAATTGAAGGTAAAATGTGCATGTTTTGCTGAATTGGATTAAGAGTGTTAAGAGAAAAAGAGGGTCAAACATGACTCCTAGATGTTTGACTCTAGCACTTTGGTAAATGGTAGTGACATCAAATTAGATGGGAAATATTGAGGGAGGATTCTGTTTGGGATGGGGTGAATCAAAAGTTCTATTTTGGTCATATTGTTTGAATCGCCTTTAAGCAGAGTTTTTATCGGCACAGGGGGTGAGGCCAGGGATGGAGAAGCATTAATTAAGCAACTACTTTGTGATAAACACTAGATTTAAAACCATGAGATAAATGCTAACAAATGTAAAAATAAAAGACATGTCAATCAGGAATCCTACAATGGAATTCATGATTTACAATTTATGTCTGTAGGACAAACTTAAGGATGTTTGCAAATGAAAAAGTTTGTACAGGTGATTATAAATTAACATATTGCCAAAATCCCCAAGGAGTTACCTCCAGATAAAGCAATGAATCTTTATCTGAGGGCAAGGTGGGACTGAAAGAGAGGTCACTGAATGTTATGGAAAGTACAAATTCATGAAAGGGTAAGATTCATTTTCCTCTTGGTAAAAACCTTATAACTGGATTGTATTGTGTAGACTTAATTTAAATATTTACCAATTCATATTCTTAAAGAAAGGAAGTGAGTGGTACCTTTAGCATTGTGTTGTTATTTAATGTACTTGCCATTCTGGTTTCACTGCCTTTGTTAAAGGGAAAAGCAATTAGAAAACAGATAACTCATACACTCCTATTGCAATTATCCATATTCACCATAAGCTAGCCAGGAAATTGGAACAATAGAACCCGTCACTCACTCAGTCAAATGCACGAGAACATGGAACCAAAAGAGTAACACAACTTTATCAAGGGGTTAGGGATAATACCAATTAGCTAGAACAGGCTTTATTTGAAGTACTGTTTCATAGTATTGATTCAAAGTGGATTAAGCTGCAACTTAAATGTTTCTTAACATTTAAGGAACTTGGTCCTTTAACATTTATTTAACTTGGTCCTTTAACTTTGCTTCCAATTATGTCATGGTTCAGAGACATATGGACATACACAAAGATATCTATAGCACACATAACAAAAATTAATATTTATTATATTAGAAAGTACTTTATAATGTATTGAAACAAAAATATACTACCACAAAAGGTGGTCTGAGAAGGCTGTGTAGAAGATCCTGAACACTGCCTCTCATGGACACACCTAATGTACAGGTACATAAGAAACAATTTTCTGAAGAAAAAAAAAAACACAGCTGAAAACCAGTTAAAGGGCTTCTCCACAACAAAGGATTAGAGGATCACACCAAAACAGGTAGGTGAGGCAGAGACACATTCCTGATAAAAGCCCCACCCCCAGTGTATCAATTCAATATAGGGAGGGATTTCACAAGTCTTGAACTTCTTCCCAATAAGTATAAGAACTTGTGTCCCCACATGAGGCACCCCAGTACTTAGGAGCTTCATCAGAGAAACCTTTCCACAAAATGTCTGGCTTTGAAAATCAATGGGACTTATGTCCAGGGGACCCAAAGGGCTATAGGGAGCTGAGGAACTTTTTAAAGGGCTCACACGCAATGTTCCTCACTCCAAGACTCAGTGAAGAGGCAGTAGTATAAAAAGTGACTGAATTGTGTGTGGAGATTCTTTTGCTGATCTTGGGGTATCTGCTTACAGGGACTGTGGGCAGTTGAAACTCTGAGGTCACAGGCACTGGTAGGAGTCATTTTTGCATTCTTATGTGGCACTACTGGTGGAGGATAATGAGAGAAAAATAGAAAGAAGGAGCCACAAGACCAGAAACCTGACTCACACAATGCCAAGAGCTGGATGTGGGGGTAGAAGGGATTAACATAGCCAGCTATAGGACATTAACATTAAACCAGCTATAGGAGCTAAGATCCTTAAGGTCAATGCCTAGATCACAAAGCACAAAACCCAAGCAGATATCAGATGCTGTAGGGGGTGTCAGGAGCACAGACTGAAGGTGAATGTATGAAGATTGAAGGCCATTGAAGAATCTCTAGCTCCTTTAAAATTCTACATAGTTACTCCAAATCAACAAACAAACCACTCCAGGAAGGAAAGAGCCCCACCCAAAGAGAAGAAAACTATAGCCACGCAATCTCTGCACTGGAATGGGGCAGCAGGCCTTCTGCCCACCTGTGCCTATGCAGGTGCTCCTTTTCACCAACTCTCTGTCCCTCTGCAGGGCAGCACCCTTCCTGCCTTCCTGTGACCTGTACCTTGCTGCGACTTCTCTTCACTCACATTCCTCAGCAGAGGTAGTGCTCCTCAAGGCCGCCTGCCTGGGACCATGCAGGCCTCTTTCTTAGCAAACCTGTCCCTTTGGGGGCAGCCCTTTCTTCTCATTTGTGTCTATGCAAATGTCCTTTATTCTTCTCTCCTTTTTATAATAAACCTGCCCTTTTGGATACAACTAACATCTCTGTGTCAT